ACAGTCTATATCCTCATCTGTTGTTTTGCATTATTGTTGTAAGGAGATGGCTTCATAAGTTGTAATAACTTGTGCCAAATCCTATTTTCCAATAATGGTTTATGAAATATGTTTAAAGTCAAGCACGAGAACGACTATCACTATTGAGTGATAATGATAATGATCTCAACAACGGGTAATAATACGTTACTAGATCTATATATCTGTTACCGTATTTATCATCTAACCAAGTGTTATTATACACTTATTGCCCTGGTGTGAGGTCTCCCTGACACAAGGGCAATAACTGTTTTATTATTCCAAAATTCCATCTGTGGAATCTGTGTTATATACATATAACAAAAATACATCAACAATATAAAAGCGTGTCTGATTGGTTTAAATACATCACATGACAGGATTATAAAACATCGAGTCTCCCTCACGCGATCCATTTTCCCTGTCGAGTATCCCTCTCGGAACCCCTCGCATATTATCGGACGAATTGTCTCTCTTTGTTAGACTCTCTAACGCCCGATGTGTTCCGGATGACACCCAAACATCAACAATGGCTGCGAACGGGAGATCCCACCTCCCAACAGCTGAAGAACTTGAAACAGTGTATGTATCGTTATCACTCGGGAAACATGATTTATCTCGGGGAAACAACTCTTCAGGTCTCCCTCATACCAGGGCAATAAGTGTATATTATTATTCCTCGTCGATTTTACAGCGTGTCTGATTGGTTTAAACACATCACATGACAGGATTATAAAACATCGAGTCTCCCTCACGCGATCAATTTTCCCTGTCGAGTATCCCTTTCGGAACTCCTCACATATTATCGGACGAGTTGTTTCTCTTTGTTAGACTCCTCTCTAACGCCCGATGTCTTCCGGACGACACCACAAACATCAACAATGGCTGCGAACGGGAGATTCCATCTCCCAACGGCTGAAGACCTTGAAAGGCTATCATTGTTGTTTAATTTAACAATGACAGTGATAGGTATTTGTAGCATATATATGGTACCAGACCTAATGAAATGATGGCCAACAGGTCTGTCACAACTAGTTTTGCCCCGATGATCGATTATAATCGATATCTTATCGGAAAGGCAACCGATTCCCAACAATAGATTATGATTTGTCAACATCGATGAATGTTTTCAAAACCGGAAGTGGGAGTTCTACTTTCATTTTCACTAAGAGAGAACGGGAGTTCTTTGTCATTTATAATAAGTGTATATGTAACAACGTATTACAACGTATGTAAAACGTATTACCACGTAACCGTCACTACTGTACATATGGCCATGAAAAAGCCATGAAATTACCATGAGATGAATGCCATGAAAAAGCCATGAAAAAGCCCATGAAACACGACCTTTTTAATGGCCCTTATTTTGTTAAACCCCATTAAATTACCATGAATATATTTTTTCAGCCATGAAAAAACAGAAATTCAAAGCCATGAAAAAAGGCCATGAATGTGTGTGTCAAGGAAATTCATGGCCCATGAAACATCAAAATTCATGGCCATGAATTCAGCATGAAAATTCTAGGATAGAAATTATCATGGCCATGAAAAAAATCATGGCCATGAAAACCCCCCCTGAAACATGACCGAATTCATGGCCCATGATTTTTTTGCCATTAAAAAGGTCTTTTTTTGCAATTTTCATGGCCATGAAAAAAAAAAAAATCCTACCATGAAAAATACACGGATTAAAACTACATATAATTTCATGGCCATGAAAAATTATGCTCCACCACGAAAAATGAAACTCATAAATAATACAGGCATATATAAAGCTAGGCTGCATGTTTAAACAGTTAAAATATTATCAGAGTACTTTCCGGATTTGAACAAAAACAAGGAGAGGAACGAGAACATGAACCACCTCCATTTACACAGGTAAGATCAGATGTTCCTTCGTGTGTCGATCTCGTCTTTATAAAGTTGTGTTTAACCACTAAAATATAAACCAGCAAACAAAATTACATTTTATCATTTTATGCTATTTTGTGTGTGAATGAAAATTGAATCGAAAGTCAATAATCATTGGGTTTCATCATCAGATATTGCCGTAAGATTTCAGGAACAATTCAGAAATGTTTCAGCAAAGCCAACTGCTATATGCATAAGCAAACCTTACTGTGATTTCTAGCCAAACAACATTAAGCAAGTTCCGGGACATTTCAACAATGCTTCTTAATCACTGTTTGCTAAACAATACAACATACACTTCAACATTAGGACCAAAAAAAAAAAAAAAAATGTCTTGTTTCTCAAATTATTGTTAGATAAATTTAGGGCAATTACTGACTGTAGTGATGGGTAACTTTAGTCCATTTAAACCGTTTTCTAAGTGATTTTTTTTTATATATATATCGTCTTCAAATAATAAAAATAAATTTAGAAGTTAGAACGACATGAATGCCCTCCTGCTTTCTGTCACAAAATCTTTCTATTTTAGTAATTTAAAAAGGATGACACTGTCTGACCTTCACCCGAGAATCCAAAAATGCAAACTTGTCAATCATCAAAATTAGATACAAATATTTGTGTGTGTTGTCATGATGCTGTTTATTACAATCTGAATGTCTCCATTATTGATGCAGATCTAGATCATGATTTAAAGTACATAAAACTTAAGAAGGCAAGAATTACACAAACCTATGATCACTAGTTACATATGGTGAGTGAATGAAGTATATCTATATTTGTGTGATCATGTCTTGTACATGTAGCTGTGGAACTTTAGAAAGTGATAGTAATTAGTATTATTGTTCCATTATTATACACGAATTTCACATTGAATACTTTGAGATTGTTATATTTTATGAGATTGTGTCATCCCATACGTATGCTGTTTTAAATCATAATGTGAGATGTTGTTTTAAATCATAATGTGAGATGTTGAAGTGTGTAGCTTACATAGTCCGATATGAACACCGACCATCTGTACTCTTATACGGGAATTCGGGTGTAAATTATCTCATATTGTTGTATTTCATCAAATTGTAACATGATACAAGTATTCCATCCAAATAAGGTCGTAGTATTATGTTGTTAGTCTGTAAATTAACGATATAAGTGTTTAAATGCGAGGTGAAGACTGCATATTGAACCAATCAATGTGTATCAGCAGACGACAAGTCCACCGCTAGATGTAATCTGTATTTTTACGGGAAACACATGTTTATACTCAAAACGATTGTTCAGCGTGTTGATATAACATCATACCTGTCATGTGTATTCCATTTTATCATACTGTCTAATCTTTTATAGCCCATTAGAGTCGAAAGTTTGTCTTGGACATAGCGGTTCGTCTTCTACGGCAGCCATATTTGTTTATCTTTTCGGTAACACTCGGGAGTCATCCACATAGTATTTACTCGGATCTCTCGGACTTTATTAACTTAGTATATTAGATTCGAAGGTTTGATCATGGAAACTGATGTTATAGTTATTGACCATCAACTTTCTTCTAACTACACTTGTTTCAGTTAATAAATGATCATTAAAAATAAAGAAAATTAATTTAATGATCATAAAAATTAGTTTCATGAGCATTAAATTCTCATTTCTTTTATTATCGAAAACAATAACGGCTTAAAAATTTAACAGAACAGTTCAGCATTTTTCAGCATTATCCTGAACAGTTCAGCAGTTTTCAGCATATATTTTCTCGTATTTACGAAGTACATTTATCGTGATGTGCCAAATGTACACTCGTGTTGTGATATGATAAATCGTTCCAACATATATATATACCATGATATACCCTAATTAATTCTGTAAATATTCATGGCCATGAACATGCATGGTGAACACTATATTAAAAATTTCTATGATGATATATATATAGATATCATGGCCTTTGTTGAAAAATTCATGGCCATGAATTTATGATCTTTACTAGAAGCTGTGGAATTACTTTTTCATGGCCATGAATTCTTCATGTCTTTACTTGGACGCCATGATATTTTTCTTCGTGGCCTTGAACTATCTGGTATCTCGGACACTTTTAGAGCAACTAATTTTAATGGCAGTGGTTTTCCAAATTTCAATGCCATGAAATACACCATCGGAATTCATGGCCATGATTTCATTTGTTCAGGGCCATACTATGACCATGATTATTTTTTGCGACGATAAATCATGGCCATGGTTCTTGACACTCGTATCAGACAACTATATTCATTGAAATTTAAGGGGATGTATGTGTGATTCATGGGGTATTCAAGGCCATGAAAAATATATTCATGGCATTTAGGCAAGCCCATGAAAAAAACTTCGACGAAATGTTATGGCCTTATTAATGACATCCAGGCTTTTTAATGGGGTTTTCACAGGAATTTCATGGGATTTTTATGGGATATGCTTCCAGTAGTGCGTGTTCTATCCTGTTACTATGTTAAACAATACGGGTTCAGTTTAAGTAGTCTCAGAGAGAGACGGTAGGGAGAATGGGAGAATCCTTTATTAATGACGTTGGAGGGTTAGTTATAGCAACAGAATTGGACTTTCGTACGGCTAGGTTAAAAAGTTGAATCAAAATACATATCGTGATGTGTCTTTTTGAATTACTTCAAAATATTTCGTATTTGTCCATATAAGAATTGTAATTAATTGTTATAATGTTAAATCTACCTTTGATTGTTTTGTTCATAACAATGACCCAGCAATTAGACGTACTATCCCTCATTCGACCACATATTTAACTTAAACACATGTTTGTATTGAAAAGAAGGTATTTTCTTCATAAATACATAAGACATAAAATCAAGTAGCAGTAACTACGAAAGTTTGATACAAACATACCTTACCCTATTAACACGTACGTGGTATCATGTTTTGCCCTGAAATTATCTGTTTTCACTATAGACAAGTTTGGAATGTTACCATAAGATAGCACATAGCCTGGCATTACTGCGTACCTGTCATCACGTGGTATCATGATATGCGTTTCTGTAAAGCCACATCTTACTATATATTAGAACTTGTTACTTTACCTGTTGGAGAATGCAGACGCTGCAGTCATAGGATACCCGAGCAGGGCAACGATCAGGTCACTCACGGCCAGATTTAGGACAAAGAAATTAATTGGTCGTCGGACGGACCTCCTTTTAGCAAAAACGATGATTATCAGTAAATTTCCGAGGACACCTATTATACCTGTAAAAGCAAAGAGGTTTACTCACTAAATAAGAAAGTATGTTACCGAAACTTTACAAGATAACTGTAGCAGAGATGGTGTTGATTGTACATACAGTATGTGATTGGGAAGATGTACCATCACTTTTGCAAAATTATTGCAAAATTATTTAAAACCCGTTATTTCAAAATGACTTATCTTGTTAACTTTCAGTAAAGAAATTCTTATTTTTGGTATGCTTTGATATAACAACATAGGTCCCTCTTTCACAACCAACGTGTCATCTTGTCTTTCCTTCTTTATCTTATCTCATACGGTCTATTCACTTTTTTTAAAACACATAAACTGCATTTATGTAAATATATATATATGCAATAAAAATCACTATCTAAATACAATAACCTATTGACCATAAATAAAAAAGAAACTATGAGCTGAAGCAAAAAATCATTTAAAGATAACAACAACCTTTTGAGTAGGAACAACGAGCCAGCAAATAAAATATAAAAGGAGTGACAACAAACCACCAATAAAGTGGACAACGAACTATTGAGGAGTGATACATCAAATCAAAACAACAAACTATTGAGGAGTGGGTACATCGAATCAAAACAACAAACTATTGAGGAGTGGGTACATCGAATCAAAACAACAAACTTTTGAGGAGTGGGTACATCAAACCAAAACAACACTATTGAGGAATGGGGACAATAAACTATTGAGGAGTGGGTACATCAAACCAAAACAACACTATTGAGGAATGGGGACAATAAACTATTGAGGAGTGGGTACATCAAACCAAAACAACAAACTATTGAGGAGTGGGGACAACAAACTATTGAGGAGTGGGGACAACAAAGCAAATGCAATACAACAAACTATTGAGGAGTGGGTACATCAAACCAAAACAGCAAGCTATTGAGGAGTTGGTACATCAAACCAAAACAACAAACTATTGAGGAGTGGGTACATCAAACCAAAACAACAAACTATTGAGGAGTGGGTACATCAAACCAAAACAACAAACTATTGAGGAGTGGGTACATCAAACCAAAACAACAAACTATTGAGGAGTGGGTACATCAAACCAAAACAACAAACTATTGAGGAGTGGGTACAACAAACCAAAACAACAAACTATTGAGGAGTGGTACATCAAACCAAAACAACAAACTATTGAGAAGTGGGTACATCAAACCAAAACAGCAAACTATTGAGGAGTGGGTACAACAAACCTAAACAACAAACTATTGAGGAGTGGGGACAACAAACCTAAACAACAAGCTATTGAGGAGTGGGGACATCAAACCAAAACAACAAACTATTGAGAAGTGGGTACATCAAACTAAAACAACAAACTATTGAGGAGTGGGGACAACAAACTAAAACAACAAACTATTGAGGAGTGGGGACAACAAAGCAAAAGCAAAACAACAAACTATTGAGGAGTGGGTACATCAAACCAAAACAGCAAGCTATTGAGGAGTGGGTACAACAAACCTAAATAACAAACTATTGAGGAGTGGGTATATCAAACCAAAACAGCAAGCTATTGAGGAGTGGGGACAACAAACTAAAACAACAAACTATTGAGGAGTGGGGACAACAAAGCAAAAGCAAAACAACAAACTATTGAGGGGTGAGTACATAAAACCAAAACAGCAAGATATTGAGGAGTGGGTACATCAAACCAAAACAACAAACTATTGAGGAGTGGGTACATCAAACCAAAACAACAAACTATTGAGGAGTGAGGACATCAAACCAAAACAGCAAGCTATTGAGGAGTGGGTACAACAAACCAAAACCACAAAATATTGAGGAGTGGGGACAACAAACTATTGAGGAGTGGGGACAACAAACCTAAACAACAAGCTATTGAAGAGTGGGTACATCAAACAAAAACAACAAGCTATTGAGGAGTGGGTACATCAAACCAAAACAACAAACTATTGAGGAGTGGGGACAACAAACTAAAACAACAAACTATTGAGGAGTGGGGACAACAAAGCAAAACAACAAAATATTGAAGAGTGGGGACAACAAACCAAAACAACAAACTAATGAGGAGTGGTACATCAAACCACAACAACAAGCTATTGAGGAGTGAGTACAACGAACCAAAACAACAAGCTATTGAGGATTGGGTACATCAAAACAAAACAACAAACTTTTGAGGAGTGGGTACAACGAACCAAAACAAACAAGCTATTGAGGAGTGGGTACATCAAACCAAAAGAACAAGCTATTCAGGAGAGGGTACATCAAACTAAAACAACAAGCTATTGAGGAGTGGGTATATCAAACCAAAACAACAAACTATTGAGGATTGGGTACATCAAACCAAAACAGCAAAATATTGAGGAGTGGGTACATCAAACCAAAACAACAAAATATTGAGGAGTGGGGACATCAAACCAAAACAACAAACTATTGAGGAGTGGGGACAACAAACCAAAACAACAAAATATTGAGCAGTGGGTACAACAAACCTAAACAACAAACTATATAGGAGAAATACAACCACCATAAAACTTACAATGAATAGAGATAGAGCCATAAAAACACTTACATTATTTAGAGATACAGCCATAATAACACTTACATTATATAGAGATACAGCCATAATAACACTTACAATGAAAAGAGATACAGCCATAAAAACACTTACATTGTTTAGAGATACAGCCATAATAACACTTACATTATATAGAGATACAGCCATAATAGCACTTACAATGAAAAGAGATACAGCCATAAAAACATTTACATTATATAGAGATACAGCCGTAATAACACTTACAATGAATAGAGATACAGCCATAATAACACTTACAATATACAGAGATACAGCCATAATAACACTTACAATATATAGAGATACAGCCATAATAGCACTTACAATGAAAAAAGATACAGCCAAAAAAACATTTACATTATATAGAGATACAGCCATAATAACACTTACAATACACAGAGATACAGCCATAATAACATTTACATTATATAGAGATACAGCAATTTTACCACTTACCATGAATAGAGATACAGCCATAATAACACTTACAATGAATAGAGATACAGCCATAATACAAATGTACCACTAACATTACATAGAGATACAGCCATAATAACGCTCACATTACATAGAGATACAACCATCATAACACTTACATTAAATATAGATACAACCGTTATAACATCAACAACAAATAAAGATAAAAGTAATATAGACAGTATGCCAGGATGAATAACACTGCACTGTACAGCTGTTTCGTCCTTCTTTAACTCATCAGTGATGCTAGGGACCAAAAAAGTGGCAATTCAAATTGGTTTAAACTAGTGTCAAAATAGAACCGAAAGTACAAAAGACTCATCGAAAATTACAAAAAAATGTAATACTATGTGTGTATATCATAAACCGTGCCACAATTCCAAATAGGTTAATATCGTCATCAAGCAAACAGCAATAACACATTATACAAATAGACATACGATGGAAGTGGTACATGTAATTTTCACAAACAGACAAACAGTAATTCACTAACAGTAAATGTTGTAAAGGTTATTGTCCAAAATACCACTTACAAAATACCACTTACAATAACCAAACATACAGCTATGATGATCCTTTCAGCATCACATTTATAACAAATGGACAAACTACTGAAATTGTTATTGTAGGAAAGGCAATACTTACAACAACAAAAATGCAAACTGCTTATTATCGGAAAGTCGATACTTACAACAAATAGAAATAAAGATTCCTATGATGCGGAATTCGGACGGCGATATGACGAGGGCGGTGTCCGTTGTGTTCAAAGGAAAGGGCATGATGAGAATCCGCAGTGATCTAACCCGGAATGGTCAGAGTAAGGATAACAGGTGATTACCAGTGCATTATCACCAGGTCGGGTTATCAAGGTGTTCCGAAAGCATTACGTTGTTAATCTTCCAACGTTCTCCCAGTACGTGCAGACGTCTGTTGTAATTTTAAAAATGATTTTTTATGTACATTAAAGTAAATTCCTATCCAATCAAATAGCCAATCAAATTTACTAGACAGTAAAAGAGAAGAATTATACAACAATCTCAGTAGCATGGACACCCACGTGTAATGGTTAACCACTAGTGATAACTTACTATATGATCGCACAATACAATAACATCGCAGACTTAGTGAAAGATCAAGTAAATAGCGACATTTCAAAAGTGAATATCGACCGTATTTAATATCCTATCACAAGCTGCGACATATACTTGGGTGACTGTAGAAATCGCAGTTGTACTGATATATATATATATATATATATGTATATGTATACTCCGGGAGATATGTGTAGGCATATATACATGTATGTATAGTCAGGGTGATGTATGTAGGTATAGCTATATACTCCGGGTGATGTATGTAGGTATACATGTATACTCCGGGTGATGTATGTATGTATAGCTATATACTCCGGGTGATGTATGTAGGTATATATATAACAGCAATTTTATCGCAGTTGTACTGATTATATATACTCCGGGTGATGTATGTAGGTATAGATATATACTCCGGGTGATGTGTGTAGGTATAGCTATATACTCCGGGTGATTTATGTAGGCATAGCTATATACTCCGGGGGATGTGTGTAGGTATAGATATATATACTCCAGGTGATGTGTGTAGGTTTAGCTATATACTTCGGGTGATATGTGTAGGTATTGATATATACTTTGTGTGATGTGGGTAGGCATTAATATATATACTCCGTGTGATGTATGAAGGTATACATATATATTCCGGGTGATGTATGAAGGTATATTTATATATTCCAGGTGATGTATGTATGTATACATGTATACTCCGGGTGATGTATGTAGGTATATATATATATTCCAGGTGATGTATGTATGTATAGCTATATACTTTGTGTGATTTGTGTAGGTATAGCTATATACTTCGGGTGATGTATGCAGGTATAGATATATACTCCGAGTGATGTGTGTAGGCATATATATACTTTGTGTGATGTGTGTAGACATAGATATTTATACTCCGGGTGATGTATGAAGGTATATATATATATTCCGGGTGATGTATGAAGGTATATTTATATACTCCGGGTGATGTGTGCGGGTATAGATATATACTCCGAGTGATGTGTGTAGGCATATATATACTTTGTGTGATGTGTGTAGACATAGATATTTATACCCCGGGTGATGTATGAAAGTATATATATATATTCCGGGTGATGTATGAAGGTATATTTATATATTCCAGGTGATGTATGTATGTATACATGTATACTCCGGGTTATGTGTGTAGGTATATATATATACGCCGGGTGATGTATGTATATATAGATAAATACTCCGGGTGATGTGTGTAGGCATATATATAAATACTCCGGGTGATGTATGAAGGTATATTTATATATTCCAGGTGATGTATTTATGCATACATGTATACTCCGGGTGCTGTATGTAGGTATATATGTATATTCCATGTGATGTATGTATGTATAGCTATATACTTTGTGTGATGTGTGTAGGCATAGATATATACTTCGGGTGATGTATGTAGGTATATATGTATATTCCATGTGATGTATGTATGTATAGCTATATACTTTGTGTGATTTGTGTAGGTATAGCTATATACTTCGGGGGATGTGTGCGGGTATAGATATATATATACTCCTGAGGATGTGTGTAGGGAAAGCTTTATACTCCGGGTGATTTATGTAGGTATAGATATATACTCCGGGTGATTAATATGTATGTAGGTATAGATATATACTCTGGGTGATGTGTGTAGGTATAGCTATATACTTCGGGTGATGTGTGCAGGTATAGATATATACTCCGAGTGATGTGTGTAGGTATAGCTATATACTTTGTGTGATGTGTGTAGGCATAGATATATACTTCGGGTGATGTATGTAGGTATATATATATATTCCAGGTGATGTATGTATGTATACATGTATACTCCGGGGGATGTGTGTAGGCATAGATATATACTTCGGGTGATGTATGTAGGTATATATGTATATTCCAGGTGATGTATGTATTTATACATGTATTCTCCGGGTGATGTATGTAGGTTCAGCTATATATACTCCGGGTGATTTATGTAGGTATAGATATATACTCTGGGTGATGTGTGTAGGTATAGCTATATACTTTGTGTGATTTGTGTAGGTATAGCTATATACTTCGGGTGATGCATGCAGGTATAGATATATACTCCGAGTGATGTGTGTAGGCATATATATAAATACTCCGGGTGATGTATGAAGGTATATATCTATATTCCGGGTGATGTATGTATGCATACATGTATACTCCGGGTGCTGTATGTAGGTATATATGTATATTCCATGTGATGTATGTATGTATAGCTATATACTCCGGGAGATGTATGTAGGTATAGATATATGATGTATGAAGGTATACATATATATTCCGGGTGATGTATGAAGGTATATTTATATATTCCAGGTGATGTATTTATGCATACATGTATACTCCGGGTGATGTATGTATGCATACATGTATACTCCGGGTGCTGTATGTAGGTATATATGTATATTCCATGTGATGTATGTATGTATAGCTATATACTCCGGGTGATTTATGTAGGTATAGATATATACTCCGGGTGATATGTGTAGGTATAGATATATACTCCTGGTGATGTGTGTAGGTATAGATATATACTCCTGGTGATTAATGTAGGCATAGCTATATACTCCGGGTGATGTGTGGAGGTATAGATATATATACTCCAGGTGATGTGTGTAGGTTTAGCTATATACTTCGGGTGATGTGTGCAGGTATAGATATATACTCCGAGTGATGTGTGTAGGTATAGCTATATAATTTGTGTGATGTGTGGAGGCATAGATATATATACTCCGGGGGATGTATGTATATATAGATATATACTCCGGGTGATTAATATGTATGTAGGTATAGATATATACTCTGGGTGATGTGTGTAGGTATAGCTATATACTTCGGGTGATGCATGCAGGTATAGATATATACTCCGAGTGATGTGTGTAGGTATAGCTATATACTCCGGGTGATTGATGTAGGCATAGCTATATACTCCGGGTGATGTGTGGAGGTATAGATATATATACTCCAGGTGATGTGTGTAGGTTTAGCTATATACTTCGGGTGATGTGTGTAGGTATCGATATATACTTTGTGTGATGTGGGTAGGCATAGATATATATAATCCGGGTGATGTATGAAGGTATATATATATATTCCGGGAGATGTATGTATGTATACATGTATACTCCGGGGGATGTGTGTAGGCATAGATATATACTTCGGGTGATGTATGTAGGTATATATGTATATTCCAGGTGATGTATGTATGCATACATGTATACTCCGGGTGATGTATGTAGGTATATATGTATATTCCAGGTGATGTATGTATGTATAGCTATATACTCCGGGTGATGTGTGCAGGTATAAATATATATATACTCCGGATGATGTATGTAGGTATAGATATATACTCCGGGTGATGTATGTAGGTATAGATATATATATTCCGGGTGATGTATGTAGGTATAGATATATACTGCGGGTGATGTATGTATGTATTGATATATACTCCGGGTGATGTATGTAGGTATAGATATATATATTCCGGGTGATGTATGTAGGTATAGATATATATATTCCGGGGGATGTATGTAGGTATAGATATATACTCCGGGTGATGTATGTATGTATTGATATATACTCCGGGTGATGTATGTAGGTATAGCTAAATATACTCCGGGTGATGTATGTAGGTATAGATATATACTCCGGGTGATGTATGTATGTATAGATATATACTCCGGGTGATGTATGTAGGTATAGCTAAATATACTCCGGGTGATGTATGTAGGTATAGATATATACTCCGGGTGATGTATGTATGTTTGTATAGCTACACTGTATATACTCCGGGTGATGTGTGTAGGTATAGATATATATTCCGGATGATACGTATTTGTCGGTTATGTGTCATTGATTGCTTATTTTAGATTATAAAATCACCATCGGTCAATAATTGAGCGTTGTGAGTTTGTTTCCTATAGTGTAATAATATAGTGTTGTGATGAGGTATCATAATATTATATAATGTACGAGTTTGTGACTATTTGTTTGACCAAGTTGATTGGACTCACGGGACTAATTATGTATGCCTTCTCCCACTGAGATTATAATCCAAATTGGATGTACATGTACTAGACTATTATGTATTGTTCTTTGTGGCAGGCACTCTATCCGCTTCACCAATGCAGACTTGTAGAGCTATGGCCACGTACAAGATGGACATTGCAATTCCATATTAATGTCTATAGCTCAAGCTGAGGATCGGCATCACGATTTCCTGTGACCAACCTACGTTTAATGCCGCAAAATAAGAGATTAAACCTAGAGTTAAGGTGTCATACCGTAACACTATATATACGTGACTGTTAAGCGTACTTCCAGTAAAGCGGCTTAGTAACTAGGGATTTTAATACTGGGTTTTCTTGTTTTATACATTTGATTCACCCGACGCATTTCCTACAATATTTGTCCTGCTGATGGTATTATATTGTAAGTACTAATCATGGTAGCCTGTAGACTAACGCGTTTTTTAAACACCTGCTCCACTCAACAAATGGTATAACTATATATCTTTGTTACACCAGTGGTTTGAACATCTACTTTAGTCAACAATGGGTAAAATCATAGACCTAAGTTTCACTAGTGATTTAACATCTGTTCCACTCTTCAAGTGGTATGACATTAGTGTATGATATTGCCGATACTGACGATGAGTATTGTACATTGTAGTATCGCCCATTTGTGTAATTAGGGGATCAGAAACGGATGCAATTTCAACCGTTCCAGAATCACGGATTAAGACTTCCAGTTTTCTTCTTCTTCTTTTTCTTCCATATGAAGGATCAGACTCAAAGGTTT